ACACACACACACACACACACACACCCATGCTTAATTATTGATGCTCCCTGTTGACTTCTTCGTCAGACTCGTTCATGAGTTAATAGAGGATATGAGAGGTTTGGAACAGTCAAATCTGAGGAGAGGAAAAGAACTGGAGCAGAGAGCGTGTGCTCACTTTAAACGGAAGTTAGGTTCAGAAGTTTAATAGGATTGTCTGATAATTTTTGTAGTTATGTCCCAAATACTAATGTCCTCCTATACAAGTGTAAGATGACAGATTTCTGGTTGTAATGAGTCTTCCTGCAAATAGTGAATCTGTAGAAAGTTCTGGCGTTTTGAGTATTTGCAATTTGATTTACTGTAGCATGCTTGCTCTCTTTATGTTGTCTTATGCTACATTTAGTTTTTAGCTAATGTTCTGCTGCATTTAGCTACACTTTTGATACCTTAAACTTTTAATTAGCCCTATGATGCTCTTAACATTTAGCTAGTGTTTTGCTACTTTTAGCTTTTGGTTTGCCTTTTGCTGATATTATCCTTTAGCTACACTTTTTCTACTTTTCTTTTAAGCTAGCCTTTCACTGCCTTTAGCCAGGCTAGCCATTTGCTACTTCTAGCGCTTAGCTGCTATTTTGGTATTTCTTGCTAATAATTTGATATCTTTACTTCACATTTAGCTACTTTTGACCTTTAGATAGAATTTGACTTCTTTTAGCTTTTTAGATAGCTGTTTTTTACTATTGGCTAATGTTTTGTTACTTTTCTTTTGCATTTTTCTTAGAGCTTTTATGTAGGATTATGCTTTTTTGAGCTTTTTTAAGCATTTTGGTTGTTTTTGTKTTTACCCTCATTGTGCTTCCTTTCGCTTTTAGCTTTTTAGCTTTTAGCTAGTGTTTTGCTTCTTTCAGTTTTCCTTCTTACACATCTTAAAGTATTGTCGTTTCATCTGGTGTACTGTAATGCTGGAGTAAAGTTGGTCTCTGTTTGGAGCTTCACTAAGAAGTTGTTGAGTTTTTTTTTGTGATCTTGTTTGTACATAATTAAAGACGCTAATATAGTGGTGTAAGCACTTGTGTAATTGGAATCAGAGGAGATTTAGGAGTAATTTGAGATGACAGATTTCTGGTTGTAATGAGTCTTCCTGCAAMTGGTGAATCTGTAGAAAGCTCTATTACCCATGGCTGCATCAATTATACTCATTAGTCTTAAATTGAGAAGCTTTGTCCGTGATTGGGCCCAGCAAGCTGAGGAAATGTAAAGATTGCTTGTGATTAAATATAAAAAGGAGCTCTGATGTAAGGCAAGTTAGTGACTTCTTTCATTTGATACAGTGCATTATCTGACTATGGAGTCAATATTTAGTAATTGCATTACTAAATAAATGAGTCTATAGGTGTTCAGTCAGATGCTGTCGTGGAATTTTATTCAGTGCTACTGCAAATTTTGTATTGATCTTACAAACAGTTAAACATTAGAGATATTGATTGTTTAATAAGAGTTAGTATCTTCTGCTTTGCAGTTTTCTACCACTGGCTGGTGTGTAAGAATGTGGCTGTGTTCAAATTCAGGGTCTGCGTCCTTTGAAGGACCCGGCTTAACTGGTCTACGTGGGCCAGGGCCTTGTCGACCACAAAGGCCAGAATTGGCTGTGATTTTGGACGGTCTAGCCTTCAGTTTTTTTTTCCTACCCTTACCCTGGTGAATGTCCTTTCATTTAGCAACCACGACGATGCTAAACCCTAGCAGTGAGCAGAATATTAATGTATTGAAATTATTAAAGTTATAAATTAACAAAATTAGCTTAGAGGCAATGCATGAAGAACTAAAGGACCCGTTATACGAGCTCGTTTACGATGATTTCTAACAAGAATAATAATAAAAGACAAAACCATAACAACAAAACCCATTTAAACTTTAAATTTTTGTATCGCCAGATTCAAGTGGTGGGAAAAAGTGGGACGCATTAACGGGCCGCAATTGAAAGAGCCTTTGAATTTGGACGGCCTTCGGCTTTTTGCTTTGACATTATTGGCCTTCAGATTCGGCCTTTGAAGGACGCAGCCCCTGAATTAGACACAACCTGTGTAAGAACTGTTCTGTGCTCAAAGCTCGACCATCTGCATGGCTTGACAGATTTTCTTTTTCAGCCTCGTCTTGGTTTGATATAAAATAGTGCTGTTACCAGAGTAATAAGAGTACCACTTCTTGAAAGTATCATAACAGAAATCCCCCAAAAGGTCAGCTGGTGTTGAATCAGGTCAAAGTCTTTTTCTTTTCCACTTTGCTCAGTGCCAGTAGACTATTTTAGAGAATATTTGTATTCAAGGCTGACTGAACACGTGGGATGTTACRATCAGACTGATGGGTTGTGGCCTTGCTGCTGTGTTGATAGTGTTACCTTTTTACATCCTTTCACACAAGTTAAGACTCTGATCTGTTAAGCTTTCCACAAATCCTTGCTAATAGTTAGAATTTTTTTCTCTCTTTTTCTTTCTTCTGGGATACTTGCCCTTAACAAATTTTTCAGTTGAGAAAGAAGGTTAGGGTTAGTAAAGATAGATTTTAGTGCACACATTTATAAGTGAGGTTTTAATTGTTCTCAACCTTTCCGTAGAAGTCTGCTTTGAAAGATCTAAACTGAAACTTCCTCTGGGGGCATGTTTGTGTCCATCTTAGTTTGTTTATTGGCTGGATTGTTTTGTCTTTGCCTCGGGACTCTCTCCCACCCTCAAAAAGGATTTGTGGTTAATAGCATCTTGACATATTAGCACAGGTCCATAAAGCCCTTCTCACACACACAGCTAGATCTCAGCAGCCACTTCTCTCGCATCCAAAGCTGTCAGAAACTCTGACCACTTAGTGAAGGGGTAGATTTGAGAGATTTAGCACCTGCACCCCCATGTTTCTGCTCAACACAGCTGGGGGGTGGGGGACGACGACGAGGTCTGTTATTCCTCATAATTGCTGGTTGTCAGAAACCATTAGTGTAGGAGTACTTCAGTAGCGGTGCACTAGCAGGCCAGGGAGTCAGCTGGAGCACTGGGAGGAAAGAGGTAGGCTGGCAGAGCACAGATGGATTGAAAACAAGGCTTGCGTGCCACCCGCTGTCAATCCACCCTTTGAGCCAGCTCTCCTAGTGGGGCCTTTTTTTTWATAAACATCCACACCCTGACCTGTTGAATAGATGGGGGGTACCGAGTTGAAAGACAGAATTACATGGTTGGATCCATCAGCACCAGCTGGCCCGCTCATCCCGTGCCCACTCTCTCTTTACGTTTTGCTGCACGAGAGCCCCAGCAGCTCTTTTTTAAATAATTTATTTCTAATTTATTTCTTCCACAGCGCTATCTGGAGATTGACAGCTAGCACACAGGTGCTCATGCATAAAGTACATCCAGAATTTTTAAAGGCCATTCTGCTAAATTAGGACTTTCTGCTTGAGGGAGCAGATTTTTGTAAAAGTCAGTTTTCCTCGTCTGATGAGTTTGCTAATATTTTGACTGAAGAATAATAATAAAGTTTCACTTAAAGGAACACAAAGCTTGGAGAGCCTGATCTGTTTGTTATGATTGTAAGAATGCTGTTTCTGACCATCTTACTACTTATTTTGTGCCTTTTTAGCCACTCATTTATCAAAACATTCATCCTTTTCATGGCTTGTAGAGTTTTTTAAATTTGCTTTAGCATGCTTRCTCTACCTTTGTCCTTTTATGCTACTTTTAGTTTGTAGCTACTGTTTAGCTGTATTTAACCAGTTTTGATACTTGTATGTTTCAATTAGTCCTTTGATGCGCTTAGCTTTTAGCTACGGTTTTGGTACTTTTAGCTTTTAGTTAGTTTTTCTTTTCATCTAGACTTTCATTGTCTTTAATTTCTTGCTAGCCTTTTGCTATTTTTAGCARCTGCTTCTCTGCATTTAGTACCCTTTTGATATGTTTAGCTTTTTTAGTTAGCCCTTTGATGCTCTTAGCTTTTAGCTATAGTTTTGCTACTTTTGGTTTTAGTCTTTTAACTTTTTTCTAGACTTTCTCTGTCTTAAAGCCTGTTGCTACTTATAGCTTTTCATTTGCCTTTTGAATCTCTTAGCTTTTAGCTACTGTTTTGCTACTTTTAGCTTTTAGTTAGCCTTTTTAAAAACTTCTATAGACTTTCAATGTGTTTATTTTCATGCTAGGTTTTTGCTACTTCTACCTTCCAGTTTGCCATTTGCTATTATTAACTTTTAGCTATACTTTTGCAACTTTTCTTTAAAGCTAGCCTTTCACTTTCTTTAGCTATCTATTTGTTATTTCTAGGTTTTAGCTGCAGTTTTTGTATTTGTTGTTAATGATTTGATATCTTTAGCTCACATGTAGCTACTTTGGCTAGAATTTAGCTTCTTTTAGCTGTCCATTGGTTACTTTTAGCTTATATTTTGCTACTTTAATTTAACATTTGTCTCTGAGCTTTTAGATAGGATTATGTTAATTTTAGCTTTATTAAGCATTTAGTTATATCTGTTTTTAGCTAGCATTTTGCTTTATTTAGCTTTTAGCTAGTCTTTTGCTTCTTTTAGCTTTTAACAACTCGGTACGTTTCAGTAAAGTTATTCTGCACTCAGCAGTCTTACCTCATTACTGCAAAATGCAAAGTCTTCAGTTTTTCATGTTTTGTTGTTTTTGTATCTAGAATGTGATTTTTCCTGGTGCTGGAGACGAGGGGATGAGCGAGTACAAGTCTGTCATCTACTACCAAGTGAAGCAGCCGCGGTGGTTTGAAACAATAAAGGTGTGTTTTTCTGCTTATCGTTAAATCAATATTGTTTCTTAATTATTACTAAATTCTGGAACTCATTAGTTAATACAACACGTGCTTTATGGACCATATTTAGTAGCAGGAAACTGTTCTGGGTGCTACAGTATATATTAACCTAATATGAAAAGATTCAGAGATATTTCAAGCTGTGCCTATCTGTCAGTTTTAAAAAACTAAAAAAAAAGACGCACTTTTAATTTGTCTTGTTATTTGTACATTTCCCACTGATGGTTATGTGTTTTCCTGCGTGTGTGAATGTCACGTACTGCTGCTCTGTTTCTTATCTCAGGTTGCTATTCCCATTGAGGATGTGAACCGGAGCCATTTGCGGTTCACCTTCCGCCACCGTTCATCACAGGACTGTGAGTAAAAATGTCAGCGTGTGAATAATCAGTTTTTCTGAGGTCCAGGTGTACAACTGGCTGTTAATGYGCCTACAGCAAAAAATAATGAAAGATGAACAGCTAGAGCTCCAATGATAAATACTTTAATACTTTGATCACATTAGTCAGAGGTATTAGTTTGCTTCTGTAAAAAGCAGAATCACGGAGATGYGTCAGAGGCTACAGCTGAGATCTGAAGAAATGGTATTTATTTGGGGTGGTGTATAGTTGAATGCAACACTGCTTTTTATTTACAAAGGCTAGGGAATAAACCACCATTCTGTCCTCCTTCCACATAATGAGGCTTTTCCTCCAAACAACAGAAAGAGCGCGATAGATGAGGGTTTTGGGGCATCTGTCACCTCTGTCGTCATCTAGCTTCACAGTCCACCAGCTGTGTCTGTCTTTCACCTGCATGCAGGTGGTTTGCAGGAACTCGTCAGGTCGCAGAGCTCTGTGCTGGTTTCTAATCCATTTGGAGAGCTTTCTTGTCATGCTTGACACTTTGCTTCTGTGGGGACTAATGCTGTTAGGAGCCTTGCTTTTGAAACTCTGAGTCATTGTTATCTGGTTGCAATGGTTACTTTAGAAACTCACCTCAAGTGACTCTTAGACTGCAGGGGCATACTGATGCTGCTAAACTTTAAACTTTTCACTGACATTAGAAGCGTTTTTAAAGGTGCAATGACTAGATTTTAGATTTTTGTGCCATTTCCTCGCATTTACYGTCACTGATGATGCTTATAATATGAAACCACCRGATTGCATAAATTTATAAAGTGAAAGAGCTGCGTATGAAGGCCCCTAAAAGGCTTTAGAATGCAGCACAGTGTGCTTTACAAAGATTTGAAGTGACAACCCACCTGATAGGTGAAAGTCTGCACAACCTCTGCTCTGATTAGCTCGCTCATCAAAGTGACCCCCCCCATCATCGCATTCAAAGTTTCGAGCTCTTTGCTCTTCCTAGGAAGTCACTAATACAGCAGGTAATACTTGGTGTTTTCCCTCCGCCCGTTCCTCACGMTCCTGCAATTATTCACAGGCGAGGTTGTGGACAGCAAACCAATGAGGGGATTYATGCAGATCGAACGCGAGACGGACTTCGATGAATCACGTCTGTCTGCACGTAAATTTGAGCTTGTTGATCCGCGGTGATGATGTGTGGCCCGTTCCGAATGCCTGCTTGGAGGACAGAATCATAACTCTCTTCCTTGTTTGGGCATCACCCAGTACACTCACACGTGTCCGCTTGTGTGTGAGCAACACACACACTCTTTTTCTTTTTTTCCCCCCCATTCTTGTGGGATTATCTAAACTGTTCACAGCTGCAGCTCTCAGATCAATGGCTAGGGTTTATTCATGTGCTAAGAGTAGATGGCCCCTAGATACTTCGATCCAAACCTGTTGCTTCMGTGTTATTTGTGGGGTTTATTTGTGTATCTTATGTAATAGTTGCACCTGTCACTTTGTTTGCTGTTTTTCCTGCTGCTGTTCTTTCACATATGCTGACACTTGATGTTAATAATCTGTGTGCTTACAAGGGTTGGGTGATTGGATATATATATATCAGGGTTTGCACAGGTGCTTGAGATCCTTAGAAATACTTGAAATTAGGGCTGCCACGATTAATCGATTAATCGACGACTAATCGATTATTAAAATAATCGATGACTAATTTAATAATCGATTAATCGTTTTCTTATTTTTTTGTTCTTTACTTTGTTTTTCTCTCCAAACTGCTTTGACACCTTCCACTGCCACATCTGCCTTTCTGTCCTTGACACACATGCACAGTAGTGGTAACTGGGGTAGGCCGTGGACGTCACAAGACATTATACAGACAGGCTCTGGTATCATGGCTACCCAGCAACGGAGCTCAAAAGTGTGGGATCATTTTAAGAAAATGAAAGAGAAACCTGTGCAATATCTGCAAGGCAGAACTTGCCTTCCACAGCAATTGTTTTTAGTTAATATATAGTTAAAATCTAAAGATGGTTATATAATAGCAGCTGCATTCTGACACGATAAGCTGTATGTTTTATATTCAATTAACGTATGATCCGATTAGTCGACTAATCGAAAAAATAATCGGTGATTATTCGATTATAAAAATAATCGTTTGTGGCAGCCCTACTTGAAATTTACAAAGGTTGTTTCAAGGTTTTGAAAGTGCTTGATATTCTAATTTCACAGTTTTGTAATAAATTGCACTATAAAAGTTTGATTAAAAACTTCATTTTGATATCTTTTTTAGGGATGTCCTGATACCACTTTTTCACTTCTGATACGATACCGATATTACAACTTTGAGAAATGTCCGATACCGATATTGACCGATACCGATATTGACCCGTTACCATAACAGTACAAGTCACACACTTTTACTTATTTTGTAATGTAAAATCTTAGAAAAGTCTTGATCAGGTCAAACAGTGAAAAAGAGTAGGTATGAGAAAAACTGACCCATTTATTTTTAAACAATGGATCACATACATTTTAAACTGAAGAACATTCTACAATTTAATAAAATTAATAAAATAAATAAGAAGACCCTGAAAAATAAAACATAATAAAACCAAAATGTACTTTTAAAGTATAAAATAACAATTTAAAATCACTTCGGTTATTGTTTTACTACCCGTCAGCCTGGTGCTGCTTTATGGTGGAAAAAACCGAAGGTGGGTGCAAAACAAAACAACGTGATCATTGCACTTAATCGTCACTCAGACAAGTGTGTAAACAGATTAAACATCACTCTAATAACAAGAGCAAAAAAYAAATAGTAAGAATTAGTCAGTTATTTAAATTGATAGCTACCTTTCTTACTGCTGCATTTTCTGAGCATCATGTGGAGATTAGCCTCTCGCTCCTGCAGGGAGCAGTTTTTATCACTGCTCTCGTCATGTCAAAACAAAAGCTGCGCTCTCCTTTCTTCTGTCCATCAAGAGCTAATCCACGGGATGTCAAAACTGTAAGCGTGCTGTCCTCGCTTCTGCCAGCTTAGAACCACCGACCGGACCAGAGAGGAGGTTCCGAAACAGCGCGGCTGTGTACGGTCACTGGACCGAGGCTGAACGAACCGAGCCGAAACGCAAAGCTGCTGCCAGGGTGGAGAGTAGTTGTCGCTCCGGTTTAAAACGTGCATGGTTCTGTGTTCCCCCTCGGAAAACTTGTGCGTGACAACTTTGCACTTAGCTTCAACTCTGTTTCTGATGAAAATAGAAAGTTCTGCCGACATTCTTGCTAACTTGTTAGCGCAGCATGTTGTTGTGATCACGTGAGCGCTACATGCTGGATCCAAGCGCTGCTGGATAGAAACACTGGAGCGGAGGCAGTGAACTGCTGGACTGAACTGCTTATATCGGAGCGCTTATATTGGACATTTTTTATGCAGGCCGATAAAATCCGATACTCATTTTTTGGCTGATATTGGACCGATATCCGATATCAATATCGGATCGGGACACCCCTAATCTTTTTAGTAAAGGCACAAAATATAGAGTGAAAATTTTGCCTTAAATGAAGTCTCAGAAAGACTTGCTGCCGCTCGGGCCTGCTCCTTTTTTATTATACCAGCATGTGAGCATTGATACAGACTGGCGGCATCCTCTGCCATAGTTATGAAGCAGACCCACTTTGAGCACACGTCTTACTAGTTGCGCACGTCTTCGGTGAGCGGTTGAAAATGGCATGACAGGCAGTCGCTGCTTTAGTGTTCGCTGGCTCGAAAACTCTAGATACCAAACATGGTTGAAACAAGAACCAAATCCTCCTCTTGCAAACAGGACCTGCAGCGTTGGGAGAATCTGAGCTCTCGAGCTGTGTAAAACGTTAACTGTAGTAGTGGGAGGTAGGGATGGGTACCTTTGACGTTTGAATCAATTCAGTACCAATATCCGGTACCTGGGAATCAATACCGGTACTTAACGGTACCAATTTTTGGTACTTTGTGTGTGTTGTTTGTTCAATAATAAACTTTTATTTATTTTTAATATATTTCTTAATATATAAAATTAACAAATATCTAGACAAAATTCAACTCTTTGCATTGTAACAACAGTTATGTAACTTATTTTTTTAAAGTGAAAACTCTTGAAAACAACAAGACTGTTTTGTCTTATTATTGCACAAATTAAAATCCAGCTCGATGTATTTCTGTTGATGTCATTTCCCCGCTAGAAAAATTGTGTGATGGAGGTCCATGGAAGGCAAATAAGTTTAAATCAAATAAGCAAAAGAGGATTGAGTTAAAATAAATAAAAGGTATTCAAGCTACGTTTTGAGCATCCAAAACGCATCCAGCGCTTCAAGTTGGCTGCTTACAGTGGTTTGCAAAAGTATTCATA